CCTCCCCCTCTCTCCCCCCCAGGGCATACAATAGGGGTCATTTGGATGTACTCACGTTTTGTCACAATAGATACCTCAGTCTCTGTAGCGAGTCCCTGAGGATAAGGTCCATCAATTACCCGATATTCCTAGCAGCTGTCAGAGATAAGAGACTTGAAGTACTCGAAATGGTTTTCTCTAATCAAGAGACACGCCCACTTCCTGATCGGATTCTCTCTCGTCCGTACGTCCTCGGGAAAAAAACCGAGAATGTTCCCGGAGAGAATATGAATGCCGTAGGTGTAGCTTGTGAGTGTTGTCTCAATGGCGACCCGTCCGTTTTTGATGCAATGCTGAGTCATCAAGTTATCGGGAAACAGTTAGTGAATCTGTCGCTGGCCGATCTTGGAGTAAAGGAGGTTCCTTTGGAATTATTTCATGAGAACCTCATATCCTTGAGTCTGAGTGGGAACAAGCTGGAAGAACTCCCACCAACGAAAGACTGGAAGTGCATCAATTTAACGTTCTTGAGTTTAGCTAATAATTTATTTTCGGTCGTGCCCCCCGGATTATTCCAGCTACCGAAATTAACGAATTTAAATCTAAGTTCTAATAAGCTGGTGAAGATAGGTCCTGATCTGTGGCGAGCTCCTCTACTGAAGTATCTGTACGCGTCATCAAATCTCCTCCAATCGCTGCCATACCCTGAGCTCAAGAACCAGTCTTCTCCTCTTCATGCCGGAGATCTTGTCTCCCCAGGCTCCAGCAAGAAAGAGATCATACACAGTCTTCGTTACTCTTTCGTCGACTCTGGACTTGAGAGAGAAGAAGATTTTCATGTCAGAGGCCAAGGTTTTAATCTGGAATTTCTTGATCTCTCCGATAACAAGTTGACCGCTGTCCCGCCCGGCTTGCCCTGCCTAGCCCCTCTATTAATGACATTAAAACTCAACAATAACTCCATTAAAGATTTTGGGAATATTTCTGATTACCCGACTCTCCTTAAGTCCCTTAATCTGTCTGGTAATGGCGGCGAAGTGGCAATAGTTCGGTCTCGTTTCTCACCCCACGGTCCAGTCTGTCTCCAGTCCACGCCAGAAAAGACGCTTCATTGCAATCATGCCGACCATATTCTCCTCTCAAACTTGCAACACTTGAATTTAAGTAAGAACCAGCTGAAAGACATCATGGTAGAATCAGATGCTCCCGTTTCTTTCCCTCACGGTCTCACGCCCACGCACAATCAGTCCCTCCTCTACCCTAAAGTCCAGTCCCTCATACTCAGTGAGAATAAGCTTAAAAGGTTTCCAGTTGGGATTCATAAACTCGAAAGACTCGGTACTTTGGACGTGACTGATAATATAACGATTCAGTCCCTCCCTGAGAAACTCCACTTGCTCAAAAACCTCATCGGTTTCCGTTACAAAGGAATAGGAGATCCCATTATTGGAACCCTGGACACTTTTAAAGACACAGCTCAATTGCTTTACTACCTGAGGGCCAGGGAACTTCAGTGAGTTCTTGTATACTTCAGGATACTTTGTGTGCATACTTTTGTGCATTTCAGTATACTATATGTACATGTTTGTATATTTTGTTGTTATTGTAGAGCTGTCTCTAATACTTCTATGAGGCTCTTTGTGATTGGTCACGCTAATAAAGGAAAGTCCACAGTCTTAAAGACACTGAGGGGAGAGAGAATGACAAAAGAGAACTTAGGAGTCATGGAGGAGAAAAGAGGAGGTAAGGAAGAGAGAAGGGGAGAGAGGGAGAGGGAGGGAGGGAGGGAGAGAGAGAGAGAGGGAGGGAGAGAGAGGGGGAGGGAGAGAGAGAGGGAGAGAGAGGGAGAGATGTGTATGTACACAAAAATTTACATAAACTAGATGTGCATGTACATGTACATGTACCTGTACTTTATGACAGCTGCTGGTTTTCCCTCTCTTTCCTAGTTACTGTTGGTATTGATGTTGGAAGGTGGACCTGTGTCCATACCAGGAAGAAGAGTGCTAAACCAATCAACTTTTATACATGGGATTTTGCAGGACAGGTAGAGCAATACAACCTTACATAAGAAAAAGAAATATGACCTATTATCTTTCCCTCTCTCTCTCTCTCTCTCTCTCTCTCTCTCTTTCTTTCTCTCTCTCTCTTTCTTTCTCTCTCTCTCTCTCTCTCTCTCTTATAGGATGAATATTATGTAACTCACCAGTGTTTCCTCACAAACAGGGCACTGTATCTACTGGTATGGAAACTGACTGACAAGGAACAAGGTCTAGAGGGACTACATGTCTGGCTCAGGAATATACAAGTACATGTCTACTAGTGTACATCTTAAAATTCTATTCTCATTCATAGTTGTACACTTGCACATGCACTGTAGTTCATACACATTACAATTGTACATGTACTTATGTACATAAATGTGAATCAAACTGTCTCAGTGAATATACATACAGTATCTGAGTCCCTTCATATCTGCCCTTAGCTTCACCTCAAGCAGATATCTTAGTCCTTATATATACTCATCA